GAGGAAGGACTAGTCTGATACTGGTGAGGCTGGCTTGTGGCTGGGAAGGAGCAGTTTTAGCAACTCTGCTTGGAATGGTGCCCCAGGGAGAGGCAGGCCAGTTTACATCTCTTTAATCTGGCTGCCTGTTTATAAGGCTATATATAAATGGTACAGAAGTGAGTAGATTTATACCTATTCGAGTGATGTTTTAGCACTTTACAGGCTTAGGGCAGCTAGCTGGTGATAGGGAATCTGGATTATTTTTAAATAGAATGCTTCTCATTTCAAAAATATTACTCTGGGGCAAAGAAAAAAGTTTAATCAGAAATGACCAATTTAGACATTGTTGCATAAGTCCATATGAATAATGAGACCTGGACCATAGACATGACAGAAGGAAAAGGAGATCCAATTTGAGATGTTTTCAGAAATGGAGTTGACAGATCTTTGTGACTAGCTAGAATAGATGTAGGGATGATGATGAGGGAAGAATCTAGCATGATTGTGGTATGTTGATGCAAATAGTGCCATCTGCTGGAATAGAGAATGCAAAGGGGTATGCTCAGTTTTAGCTATATGGAGTTTGGGGTGCCTCTGGGCCATCCATGAGGAGTATGCAAGAAGCTGATTTGTAGCTGAGTCGGGTAGGTTGAAGCTGAATGTTTGACACTCATCAGGCAGCTATTGAAGCTATGGTCATAGATGAAGTCACATTACTCAAGGAGCATCTGTGAAGAGCAGAGGTGGAGTCCCAGACTTTTGAAATAAGACCATAGACATAAAAGTGATGACTGAAAAATGATGTATTAAATCAAGAATCAGGGACATCATAGAGTCCTAAAGAATAAAGTAGAAATGGTTCAGCTGGCATCAAAACCAAGAGTATCAAGGAGGTGGAGGCAATCCTGGGAAGGTGAGGTGGACCCCAGACTGCAGCAGCTGGAGGGTGAATGGAGCTGCTAGCCCACAGCCTGCTAGGTCCATCCTGACAGGTCCCAGCCCCTCAGAGTCAATCCTGACATCTCACTTGTTCTCACAGTCCACGTCCCATAAGTCTTAAAATCCTACCTTTGAAACCCCCAGAATCTGAGCACTTCTCACCACTCCCAATCCCACAGATCCAGGCCTCCAGCATCTCACCTGGATTATTGCAGTAGCCTCCTGGGTGAGCTCCCTGAAACCTTCCTTCCCACGCAGCAGGGCGTCTTAAACACCATGTCAGACTTTGAGTCACTTCCCTGCTCAGACCCTCAGAGGCTTCAGTGTCACTTGCACCTGTGCCCCCACCTGTCCCATTCCCATACTGTTCCCCCCAGCCTCCTCCACCCCAGCCTCAGGCCTTCCCTCCCCGGGCCAGGCACACTCCCACCCAAGGCCTGACACCTGCTTTCCCCTCTCAACAGGATGACTGTTTCTCCGGATAACGAAATGGCTTTCTCCCTCAGATCTTTCAGGCCTCTGACCACTCTGACCTTCCTTGACCGTCTGTTTAACGTAGCAGGCCCTCCCCACACCCAGATCTCCCAGCCTCCTTACTTACCCTGCTTGATTTTTCTCCATAGTGCATACCCTCACCTGCTCATCTATACTAACTTTACTCTCTCTCATAGAAGGTAAGCTCTGTACGGGATTTTATCCGTTTTGTTCACTGCTGATGTAGCCAACAAGACTAAAAGAGTACAGAGTTAAAGCTCACCGGCTATGATGAAGGGGGATGAAGGAAGCAAGGGCTGCCGCTGGAAGGGCAGATGCGTGATTGGGGCCATATTAATTTACATATTAGCCAAATAGGGTGCTTGTGAGAACGAAAGGGATGTGGTTATCATTCGTACTGGGATGAAAATTGCCCTGGGCACCATGGGAGTTCCAGTAGCTCTAAAGATAGGCAAATTTTGGGGAAAGGTTTTTTTTTAGGATGAGGAGACATGTTTATAAGGCGAGGGAGAAGAAGCCGGCCGAGAAGACAACGATATGCATACAGTACAACGAAATGCCTCGCTTTACCCTGTGCACAGAATTTGATTTTCATAAGTCATTTTCAGGCACCAGGAAGGAACGTGATTTGGAGTCAGGAAACCTGAGCTCCACTGCAGACAGTGGAATCCCACCTTCCCGAGCCTCCCTGTGGAGCTCACACAGAAGTCAGTACGGCACGTGGGAATATTTCTCAAAGTGTGGTCTATGCCCCACTCGAGAGTCCCCGTCAAACCTAATCCAGATGCAGGGGGGGACCCTCGAATGCGCATTTTACATAAGCCTGAAAACACTCCAGCAGCACCAACTTCCGAAAGTTCTGGTGAGGGTTACATGAGAATCAGTAAGGTAATAATTCCTGAATAATAGCTGAAGTGACTCCCAGGGGATACGAAGGCCTGGTGCCTCGCTCCACCCCATTCATTTTAGTTTGTTTCTCCTTTCGGGAGCCGGACAGGAAAGTCTAGGGGACAATCAAAAGCAACCACATATATGGGGGAAATCAGAAAGTCACTGCTCGTGCCCAGGGAAAGCCACAGACAGGCTCAGCTAAGACCTGAAAAGACCTGAAACTTACACCCGAGGCTGATCCTTGGCATATTTGCTTATTTGTTCAATCCCCGTCACATGTAACCAGCCTGTGGCCCTGCCAGCCAAGGACTCCTCAGCTGGGTGGGGACCATGTGGACCACCATGTGACCTACAGGGAGAGGGAGTGCTTCTCGGGTTTGACTCTGTGACACCATAGCACCGTGTCAGCCTTTTGATGCTTTGAAAACATTTTGTACACTTTCCCCGACAGGAGTGTTGTCCAGAATAAAACTGCCTAAAATTTCTCACAAATGGAACCAAATTTCATTTTTATGTGCTCTAGGAGCAAAAACGGTCAGGAAGCGTGACTTTGGGTCCAGCTTTCCTGGGTCAGGTTTAGTTGGGGCTCTCCCTAATCTCACCGACTCAAGATGAAATAATTAATTCACCCATTTTCAATGCACCTAGGGTTCAAATGATGGAGGAGAACAAGGTATCGCAATTGAAATTTTCATCTAGAAGAGGGGAGGCACCACACAGCTCTCGCTAGCTTAGGTCTGTGTTTCCCAGACTTCAATGTGTACACAAATCAGCTAGGGATCTGGAGACGTCTGTTTCCCCGGGTCTGGGGTGAGGCCTGAGATCCCGTATTTCCAACAAGCTTTCGGATGATGCGCTGCTGCTGCCGGAGGGCTGTGCTTGGAGTAGCAAGTCCCTGAAGTATTTGTCACGCTTATCCCAGTGGTCAGCGGGGGTATATTAAATTGTACACCTGAAAAACGTGGAGGGATTTTTAGCCCTTTATTTCTTTCACTTGCAAACGTCCGGACAGAGAGAACAGTGAACCTCTGAGAAGCACTGGTTAACACACAATACACAGCACACCGCTGAAGGTGGAACTTGAGTAACTACAGAAAAGAGAAAGGCCACTTAGGCCCAGAGTCTAGGAGTGTGAAGAAGCCTGCAGATTTGGGGGGCCTGGAGAAACTTAAGTCATTGAGCAGCATTTAAATATATTTGTCTGCTTACAATTTCCAATTTCCATGGCAAGTGTGATTAGTTTGCTTGACTAAATAGGAATATGAAGATGAAAAAAAGAACAGAAAACCACTGGTTTCCCAACTTATTTTATAACTTCTTCTGCCCCTGACCTTTTTGTTCCTGGAGTATTTTAAAGCAAAGTCGTCCATTATATTATGTCATGTGCACTTCTAAGAGATAAGGGTTAAAAAACAAACAGACCACAGTGTCATTATCACACAAAATGAACACATATAACACAGAATTAGCCGTAATTCCTTGACATCATCTAATACTCAATCCCCACCCAGATCTTTGGATGCAGGCAACAGGTGAGTCTCCTGGCCAGCTACTCCAGTGCTGGGTTTACTCCCCTAGCTACTTGGACATTCCTTAGGGGCTGAGCATACAAATATATTCCTCCCCAAACCATATTTTCTGGCCTTCCAATTCCATTCTTAGGGGGACAATGTTTGCAAAAACAATGGCAGAAGCTTTAGGATCAAACCCTTTGCCTCTGGCTAATTCTTTAGCCTTGAAGTTGGGACAGTAAGCAGGATCCCAGCCCTGACAGGGGCTTGGGAAGTTAACCGCACCACAGGTTGGCAGCCCAAGTGACCTTGACTAGACCTTTGAAAGGGGTTGCTTCAGGAGAGTCCTAGGGCATCAGGCTTCCCAAACTCTTCTAGCTCCAAACCCTCTCACTTCTCCCAGGCACCCTCACATCGCCAGCACCACAACCCCTCCCCCCCCCCCGCCCCGCCACACACACACACACACACACACACACACACACACACACTCACACACGCTGTTCATCAGTATATTAGCTGGGTTGTATGTGGTGATCTGACTCCACCTCTCCAGACTCTGGCCTCCTTTTAGGAAGGACCACACTGAAGTGTGCTCCTGCCTTGCTCTCAGGCCTGCCCTGGGGCACAGGGCTGGGCTCTCTCACAGCCTGTGCTTTAAACCCTCAGGAAGCAGCTAGGGCATCCTATCCTGACATCTTCCCACCAAGTCCTATCACTGCAGAGCCTGTTTCTATCCTGTTTTAACAAGATCCAGATAGAAGTTCAACCTTGGCTATACCACCTACGAGAACTGGTGGGCCCTTAACTGTTACCCCTTACAATCCCGCCCGCGTCCTGGACTGAGGAGCACAGGCCTGAGCCGTGCCTCCTGTCTCCTTTCTTTTCTCCAAAGCTGGTGCTATCATGTTGGCATCTGTCCATGAGGAGGTGGGGGTGGGGGGCGCGTGGACCCTTGCTCAGTGACAGTCCTGAGCATCTGGTGGAGCCTGAACCGTAAGAGACCACTTCCTTCCTGGCCAAATGCTTGGTTGCCAAATCCCCAGCCTGGGACTGAGGTTGAGCCTTGGGCCCCACATCCCACGCTGCTCAGCCTGCGCCCGTGACAGGAGCCTTCACTGCCACACTCGGTGTCCAGGTTCCAACTCGGGGTTAGCCAGGGCTCTGGTATCTGCGCGACAGAAATCACACTCCAAGTGGCTTCAGCACAAAGGGGTCTGTTTATTGGGAGACTCGGGGAACCGCCTGGTCTCAGGGTCTCCGGAAAGGCAGAGGGAGACAGGGCTTCCTTTCGTCCTGCCCCTCCTCGCCTCTTCTCCGAGGTGGTGCCTTGCTCCCTCTGAGACCCCTCGGAGCAGCGAAAAATGTGGCCCCAACTTTAGGCCTCACCGAGGTGCTGACCGCTGCCGTCCCTCGGGAGCTGCCTGAGCTCAGATGCCGGTCACCCCAGGCCGATGACATGGGGGTGTCGGGGGTGGAGCCTGGGCGTCGGAGGTGAGAGTGGCTGAGTTACAGCTCAGGCTGGAGCTCAGGCCAGAAGACTCTCTCGTACTCATCCATGGCTGGAGGGGCGGCCGTCCTGTAAACCGTTTAGGGCCATCCTCTGGCCCCTCTCTGGCGCCCCCTCTGGCCAGAGGCTGGATGGGCTTCATGCAACAGCCATTCCCGAGGCCCCGCAGGGATGGGCAGCAGCTGTCCAGCCAGGCCCACACCAATGATCCCACAGCAGCTCTCCCTCCCCCCTCTCCCCCGAGCATCCACGACAGTCATCTTGTCAGAATTCATCTCTCAGAGTCAAGCTCCGAGAAGGCTGGGTTGTGTCCTGGGATCTGTGACTTGGTGAGAGAGGTGGTCACAAAAAGTGGTGGAGGAATCAGAAGGAAGCTGGCTGAGGAGGCATCGGGGAGGCAAGGGACCATCGCGTCAGCTCTTTCCAGGTGGGAGAGAGAAGGCAGTGGCCAGAGAGAGACTCGGGCCTGGGAAGGAGGTTTGGGGTGGGAGAGGCCCGAGCAGGAGGGAGGCACTGATTGGGTTCATTTTCCCTGCACTCCCCTGAGGCATCTCCCCCTTTTAGACCAAGGGGGTGGGTACCTGTCCCAGGGGCAGACCTAGTGACAGGGATGGGACTGCGTCTCTCTTTAGGCCAAGGGCTCCCTGACCGGGGGATGCTGCCCAGTGCAGGGCCAGGCCTCAGGGTGGGGTCTCCCATTAGGAGGTCCTGGGGCCAACCCAAGGCCAGGCTGCGGAGGTTACTGGGCAGGAGTCCTGGTCAGCCTCGGCCGCGTTTGTAACCCACCCTGGACCTGTCTCCCCATCTTTATGCCTAACAGCCCCAGGGACCAGCTCTGACCTCTCTGAGCCAGCCCCCCGCCCTGACCATTCCCCGGGACAGATCAAATGACACCGCACTTGGGGCTGGATGTTCACTTCTCTTTCCAAAAAGTACCAAACACACAGTCTGGGTGTGGCAGGGAGGCAGCCAGGCTGGGGGCCTGGACCTTACACACCCAGGGGGGCCTTGGAGGAGGCAGACAATTTAAGAATTGGTCTGAAAGTCAAAAGAGAGGACAGTTGGTTAGTGGGGTGAGCAGCAGAGGGGGAAGGAGGGGCAGGGGCTGTGGGGATCAGGCCTAGGCCCAGGAACTGGCCAGTGGGGTCAGACCTGGGCCCCCACAGCAGCCCTGCCTGGGGCCCGTTCCCCGGGGTGGGGGAGGAGGACGCAGTCTGTGTGGGTGTCCACGCAGTGCTGGGCATGCTGCAGAGCTGAGACCCGAACTCAGAGGCAGTGGGGCCAAGGGTCTTGGTCTCTCTGAACGTGTTCCCTCGTGTGTGATGTGGGACATTCGTCATCCCAGCACAGCCTCCTTCATGTGGTGGCTGTGAGGAGCCAAGGATGCTGGCCACCCCAGGGCGCTGGACACCAAGGTCCATCTTTGTTGCTCTGTCCCCGGGGCCCAGCACGGTGTAGACAGGTAGCCCTTTAGTGAGTAGATAAGCCTCCAGTGAAAGGGTCAGCCCCTGACTGTGGGGAAACACGCAGCTGCCATGAGGCTGTGTGGACCGGCCCAGGCCTGCACCTGGACCTGTGTGTGCACAGGTGGCCTCTCTCTGAGTGTCTGGGTCTTGGCCTCAGAGCGAAGGGTGGATGCCTATGTTGGGGACAAGCTGCTCAGAGCCCTAACCAAGCTCAGGGGACACCCTGTATCCCACGGGCCCTGCCCAGAGCGCTGCAGGGGCTGTGGAGTGCTGGGGGGTGGACTGCTGGCTGGGGCTGGTGACTCAGACGTACTCTCTGGCTGCAGCTGAGGGGCCCGGCCGGTAGGGCTGTGGGCTGCTGTTGACTCTCTCAGGCTCTGGGCACGTGCAGCAGAGGAAGGAACCCCCCAGCATGGCCAGGCCGGCAGCGGCCCAGCCCACGAACAAGGCTGGGCCAAACTCGTACCTGCAAGGAGTAGGGAGGATGCCATCAGGTGTGGCTGCAACCCAGGCGCTCGGTGTCACCAGGGGCTCCCTAGCCTGGGCCCTGGCCGGGGTCGGGCAGGTGTTGGGAGCTGAGATGGGACCTCACAGGCCTTAGCAGCCTCTCTGGATGAGCTGGGATGCATGCTCATCCTTCCTCCGTGGCCACCCCAGCAGGTTGACACTACACAGGGTGACCCAGACCCAGGGGGGGCTGCTCCATGCAACCCCAGGCCCCTTTCCTCATCTGGCCCGTTGAGGGGTAGGGGAGGGCCTGCAGGTCCTGTTGGCAGAGCAGGGCAATCCCTGCCATCTCTCTCAGTCACGGTCTGGCCCTTAGAATCCCAGCCAGGGCTCCCCACTGCCCTCTAAGAAGGGCAGACCCTCCACCTGGCACTCCAGGCTCTGCACGTCTGGGCCCTGTCCACCAGCCTCGGCAGTGCCTGGGTCTACCTGCGTCTGTGCCTTCGCCTGAGGCGCCCCCTCCTGGAGCATCTCCTGTTCTGCGCCTCCTGTGCTCCGCCTTCAGGACCCAGCTAAGAAGCTACCTCCTCCAGGGGACTTTCCCAGGCCCCTCTGTGCTCCCCTGAATTGCACTGACTCTCACTAGGTGGCCATTCGGTACCATGCTAGTTCAAGCCATACACCCGAGGTCTCGTTTTTCTTCCCTCTCCATACCTCTGCCTCCTCCAGGGAGCACTCCCAAGTGCAACAGCCCAGGCATCTTTGCTCATCCTCCCTCCACCCTCCGCAACTCCTCCACCCCCTACCATCCTACTCTCCCCAACCCGCTCAAGGCCTGTGGGGATGTCCGGGATTGAGATTGTCCCAGTCTCTGCTCCTGGCAGAGCTGAGAGGTGAGGGAGGAGCCACAGGGGCCCAGGTTCTTCAGACCCCCCAGTTCAGCCCGCACGCCCTTGGCCTTACCTGTCCTGACCATTCAGCCTTCAAAATATCTCTGACCTACTCTTCACTGCCAGTCCCCTGGCCCATACCCTCTGCTCCAGACCTTTGCAACAGCACCTACTGGTCTTGCCCCTCTCCCACCATTCTTCACACCACAGCTGGAGGGACTGCCCGCTGCCTGAGGAACCAAACCTTCCTATGGCTGCAAGGCCCTCCGTGAACTGCCCGATCTCCTATCCAGCTTCACCCCCTGCTTCCCACCCAAGGTAACGCTGCCTCCTGCAGAAACAACAGCTGGGCTGGACTGAGCGCTCTCCAGGCCCCGGCCCTGTGCTCAGTCCCTTACCTGCCTGTCTCACTGAACCCTCACAGCCTCAGGTCCTCGGGCCATTGCTCCCTTTACAGGGAGGAAACCTGGCACAGGAAAATCAAGGAACTAGCCCGTCGCATAGCAGCACATGCAGAGCTGGGATTTAAGCCCAGAGCTGGCACTTAGCTCCTGGGTGCCCTCCACAGGCACCCTGCCCTTTGGAGGGCCCAGCCATAGCGAGCTTCTCGGTGCCAGCGCCTGCGGCCGTCCCCTGGGCCCCCTCCGTGTACCCTGCGGGATGAAGGCCGGCGGCCCCAGAGCCAGTGGAAAGGGAGGCCCAGCCCGACCCCTGGCCCAAACCACGTCTTGGCACTCACCTGGCATTGACAGGTGTGCTCGGGTTGAAGAACTCCTGGGTCACCAGGGTGGCATACCATGACACTGCAGTCAAGGTGCAGAGGCCTAAGGACAAAGGGCGGGTGCTCAGGTCTGCCCCCTGCTGGCCACCAGGGTGGGCTACCTGTCATGGCCAACATGGTGGAGAAGGAGCCAGGGGCACCCACCTGCCAAAAGGAAGAGGGCCCCCCCGGAGATGGCAATGCGGCCCTTGGCGATGGGGTTGCTGTCTCCGACCCGGGTGCACTTCATGCCGACGACGCTGAGGATCATGGCCACGAAGCCCAGGAGCACGGCCACCACCATCAGGGCTCTTGCCGACTGGATGTGACCTGGGGGCAGGAGGGGCTGAGCCGGTGCGGGGGGGGGGGGGGGGGGGTGGGGAAGGGGGTGGATGGGGGAGCCGGGGATGGGAGCCTGGAGCAGGAGGGGAAGCTGCTCTGGGACTGCACCTGGGCAGGGGTGAGGGTGCAGTAAAGAGGGACGGGGTGGAGCCTCCCTCTATAACCGTCGTTCACGTTCACTCTCGTTTTCAGGCTCCTCTGTGGTGACCGGGCGGTTCTCTCACCAGCCGCTCCAGCTGGGACTCCCTCTGGGGCCTCCCCCACCCAACAGCAGGGGCAGCTTCTCCTGAGACCTTTCAGATTTGGCAGAAGGAGGAGCTGAGGGCAGCTGAGGCCCAATTCAGCCCAGATGGTCCTTAGGCAGGGATGCCAACCCCCATGGGCCATCCTGATTATGGACACCTTCCCCTTTGAGTCACCACGGCAGCCATATGCCTGCTGATCGGGTCAGTTCTGGGCTGGGGGCAGATGGCTGGTCGCTGGGCTCTGGCCTGTGGGCCCCAAGCCAGGGACAAAACTGCAGTGGTGCTTGCTTGTGAGCCAACTATTTAAGGCTCAATTCCAAACCCCAGGAGGAAGCAGAGAACAACTGGAGGGCCAGAGCACATGTGTGTACATGCACATGTATGTGTGCATGTGTGTGCATGTGTGTAGGGCTGTGTGTGTGCTTGCATGTGGATGCTTTCCTAGCTGGCGGGGCCAGCACGTGAGGGTGTACAAGGTGTCTGCCTACAGAGCATGGGGAGAAGTGGAGGGGAGGGTCTTGACTGAGCCTTTCTGAGTTCCAGGCACTCATCTCACCCGACCCTCCCATCAGCCTGTCAGTCCTAGTACGCCCGTTACACATGAAGATGTAGGAACACAGAGAGGGAGGGCCAGTGGTTTTCTCAAGGTTACAGCGGCAGAGCTGGGAGCTGGACCTCCGGCTGCCAGAACCTAGACCCCTGCCCGCTGTGGGGCACCCGGCTGGCCTAGATTTTCAAAAAGTTCACGGGGCGAGGGCGGGGGGCGGCGAGGGTTGGAGAGTAGAGCCCAGTGAGGATGGTGGACTGTACGGAAGCTTGCTCTGGACCTCCCCGTCCCCCTCCCCACCCTCCACCCTCACCCCCACCCTCACTCCCACCCCAACTCCCAGCCCGGCTGGCATGAGGCCTACCTTCCAGGGCCAGCAGCGAGTCGTAGAGCTTGCACTGCACCTGCCCGGTGCTCTGGGAGGCACAGGACATCCAGAGCCCTTCGTAGAGGCCCACGGCGGTGATGATGGCGTCGCCCGCATAGGAGGACTGCTTCCACTGGGGGAGGGCTGTACTGGCGATGATGCCCACCCAGCCACCCAGGGCCAGGAAATAGCCCAGGAGCTGGAGGCCCGAGTTGGCCATGGCCCAGGGGAGGGGGCCTGGGTTCCCAGAGCTCAGGGCTGGGCCAGGGTCCCTGGGGGAGTCGGGGTCATGGCCAGCTGAGCCAAGCTGCTGGGCGGGGTGAGGTGCAGCAGTGGTAAGAGGCTGAGGAGAGGTGGCAGCCCAGCCACAGCAGCAGCACAGGCAGCGGCTGGGGCTCTAGAATGCAGGGGGAGGCCCAGGCGCTGGCATGGCCAGGGGCCCGCCCACAGCAGCCGGCTAAGCCAGGGCAGGTCCCGGCAAAGCTCCTGCCCAGCCCCCTGGGGGTGGGAGCTGGCTGTGGGGCAGGTGGGTGCTCCTGCTCCACCCCCAGGGACAGAGAAGGGAGGGGCTGGGGGAAGTGACCCTGTTGTCCTCAGGGCCTTTCTGCCAGGAAAACCCCTTTAGGAAGCTGATGCCAGTGCCCTAAAATTCTCCTAATTCCTGCCCCGAGCACCAGCCCTGAGGGGAATGACTTTGCTCTTGGGTGGCTGAACTGACCCTGGGGCTTCTGTCCTCTCTGCCTGTGGCATTCCAATGTGCAGCAGGTGAGACTAGAGTAAGACATCAGGGAGAACTTTTGGGAGAGGACTGTGAGGCAGACTTGGAGAGACGGGGCTGGGGAAGGGTGTTGGAGAGAGGGTGTCCTGGGTACCTGGGGGCCATGAGTAGAAAACCAGGAAGGCCAGACCAGGGAATATGCACCGTGGAGTCTGTTTACGATATGAGAAGGGCAGAGAGGGACCCAGCGAGGCTGGGCCAGACCTGCCTGCTGGTCAGCAAGGGGCCTGGCAGGGAGGTAGGAGACAGCACCGACCTTCTGGCATCAGCCTGAAGGAAGGCAGACTGTTCAGCCCTTAATCCCCTTCTGGCTGGCTTAGCAGCTCCTGCTGGGGCCTGCGGCTCTGCACCCCGGCACGGGGCTCCAGCTCCAGAGCAGCCTGGTGAGGAGGGAGCCGTGGCCTCTGCACATTCCTGGGGTTCAGGCTTCCCCCTCTTCCCACCCACCTTCCCCCCTCTCTCCCACCCCAGCTCCGCCCTCTGGAGCAAGAGAATATTTAACTCTCCTGGACCTTATTAGCAATCCCCTCACGTTCAGTGGAGTTCGGTTGTGGGTACAGGGGTAATGTCACAACCCTGCTCCCACTCCTGCCAGCTCCCTCCCCCAGCCGCCCCCTTCATCTCCAGGGGCCACCTGCTTTGGCTGGCCTGAACTGGGTGAATGCAGGGTCCTCCCCCACAGCCCCGGCCCCCCTCCACAGGGACCCGTCCCCAGCCTGCACCCTTGCATTCTTCACGTGGCTATGCAAACGAGAGGGTGCCAGGCACTGCACAGACAATGGCTGCCCTGTGTGTCCACCCAAGGCGTGGGCCCCTGGTATGGCCTGGAGCCCCGGTCCTTGGGAGCTGGGGGAACAGCCAGCCCTCTGAAGGGTCAGGGGTGGGTGCTGTTTGGCCTGCAGTTTGGAACACTGGGCCCCCTGTGGCCCTCCCTGCTGGGAAGACCAGAACCATATAGATCTGTGTACTTGGATCCCAAAAATCAAGCAGAAGGTCTAAGCCAGAGGTGGGGAACATCTGGCCCAAGGGCCATATAAGGCCCGTGAAATCATTTGGTCTGGTCCTGCCAAGGCATTAGGGGTGAGTTAATTAAATGTTTGACCAAACACAGCAGGCTCATTTTTAGGTGGATACTTTTGTATGGCTCATGAATGATGTTATAAATACCCAAATGGCCCTTGGCAGAGAAAAGGTTCCCCACCCCAGGCAGGAGCAGTTGTAGAGAAGTCAGTGCTGAGTTCAGATTCCTCTTCCCCCCTAGACAAGGCTGAGGCACACAGCCAGGGGGAGCTGAGGACATTGCTGGAGCCCAGAGTGGACATGCCTGGGGACCCACTGAGTACCTGGCGCAGGTCTTTGCACTTTAGTATCAAGATCACACAGAAACCAAGCGTCAGAGCCACACAGGCCCTCAAGACCATGGCTGCAATCCCGTCCGTCTGTTGATAAGTGAGGGAGCTGAGAGCCAAAGAGGCCACGTGCGTGGCTGTCTCCAGGACAAAGGTCGCAGGCTCTGAGGCCTTAGCGGATATGTGCCCGAGCCTCCATCCTGACACCCCCGGCGCCTCGCTCACACTGGGAGCAGAGACATCTATGATCCAGAATGACGCTCACATCGCCCCCTGCAGCCCTCTGTCCATCTCTTCTCTTTGTTATTTAAGGTCTTGAGTGTGTTCTATCCAAATGCCCCCGACAGCCTTCCCTCACCAATGTTCCAAGGCCTTTCAGGGTTCAGGTCCTGCTCCTGGAGTGGAGTTCCCCACCTGGCGGAGCTTCTCCACCCAGGGCTCCTACCACCAGGGGCCTGCCCCTCCCCAGCCCAGTGACTCCCAGGCATGCTGGAGCCACCCAGCCTCCATTAAGAGCCAACTGGAAACTGCCCCGGGGTGTCACACCTCACTGTTTAACAAGTGTTTTCACATACATTACAAGAGGCTTAGGTCGAGCTTTACCTCTGCCACTAAGGCTGTGTGACATTAGGGAGTCCCTTAGCTTCTCTGGGCCTGGTTCCCCAACTGAAATGTTAGCGCTAATACCCCTTGTCCTGTCTGGTTCATGACAATATTTACAGAGATCAAATAATGGGTGAGACATGCTTTTGGAAAACATAATGTGCCTGAAAAATGTGGCCAATGAGAGCTGTGTTCCCAAACACTCCCTCCTGGCCGGGTCTCCCCGTTGTGCCCTCGTCCTGGGTGTGGGTGGACTGACTGTGGCCGAAGACCCACTGCCACGCCTGCCTGGCAGAGCCTGGCAGAGAGTGGGTGCCGAGTAGGTCTGTGTTGATCATGACCGGCTGGCTTGAGGATGACCGTTTTTGCTGGAGACCTTCCCAGGGTCCTCTCCCACCGACAGTCAGGAGGGTCTGACTCAGTTGGTTGCCATCCAGCACATTCTCTGCAGCCACCACCTGAAACATTGGAGCTGGTCTTACTGCCCCCAACTCAGTCTGACTTTCCTGCCGAACCACAGGCTTGGAATGGAGAGGACTTGCCCCAGGCCCCACAGCTAGAAAGGGGTGTAGCAGTAATGCCTGTACTTCCCCAACCCCCAACCCCCCCCCCCCCCCCCCCCCCCCGCAGCCGTCCTGCCTACCCAGCCAGGTCAGGCGCCCTGACCCCGGGTCCCGGAATGCCCTGCATATTTCCACTCACAGCACTTGGTGTGTTGCCTCCTTCAGAGGATTGAGGACGGTACGAGCCTCATGGCCCTATTACCAGCTCATTGCTGTGCCCCACGCCTAACCCCGGGTGCGATGCCCTCCAACTCACAACCACCGTGAGCACAGGCTCTCTCAACGCCTGTGCCGAGAGCTCTGCCAACTGCTGGGTGCCAGAGACCACGGTCCGCGTCCACACCTTCCATGTCTGCTGAGCTGCCTCCACCCCCTCTGGTGCTAGCACGGCACGCTCTCCATCTGGAGCGGACTCCCGCATGGCTGACATGCCTTTGCGTGTGCATCACAAACACGGATGAGGCAATCGCACCCGCATCTCGCCCGGACCCTGCTGTCCTTTGGCCTTTCGTGACTTACTGAGACAGTCCGCTGTCTCCATGTGGCTAGCATCTGTTGAAATGATAAAGGTTATCTGCCTTGATGTAGAAGCTTCTGGAAGACCAGCATCAGGCAGGTGTAGTTTTCTGTAATACTGGGAATTTACTATGTGCTAAGTATTGTGCCAACTGCCTTATGAGCATTCCCTTGTGAACATTCTCTCTCTTTCCTCTCTCTCTCTCTCTCTCTCTCTCTCTCTCTCTCTCTCTATATATATATATATATATATATATATATATATATATATATATATATTGATTTCAGAGAGGAAGGGAAAGGGAGAGAAAGAAACATCAATGATGAGAGACAATCATTGATTGGCTGCCTCCTGCATGCCTCTCCTGCACACACTGGGATTCGAGCCTGCAACCCGGGCATGTGTCTGACCTGGGAATTGAACCGTGACCTTCTGGCTCATAGGTCAACGCTCAACCACTGAGCCGTGCCGGCCGGGATTCTCACAAACACCCTTGAGCATCCTGGGTCAGGACTGCAAGCCCAGGTGCCCGGGGAGGAAGCGCACTAGAAGGTCACACAGCTCCAAGGGGTGGAGTGAGTCTTGCCCACTCGGCACATGGTGAAGCTCATGTTCTTTTCCCTAATGTGGCCTCTCTCCACAGGGCGAGCACGTCACTAAACAGGTCATGGGACTAAAGGAGCAGAGACCATGCCTGCAGGATCACTCACAGGAGCAGAGACCATGCCTGCAGGGTCACTCACAGGAGCAGAGACCGTCCCTGCAGGATCACTCACAGGAGCAGAGACCGTCCCTGCAGGGTCACTCACAGGAGCAGAGACCGTCCCTGCAGGATCACTCACAGGAGCAGAGACCATCCCTGCAAGATCACTCACAGGAGCAGAGACCATCCCTGCAGGATCACTCACAGGAGCAGAGACCATGCCTGCAGGATCACTCACAGGAGCAGAGACCATGCCTGCAGGGTCACTCACAGGAGCAGAGACCATCCCTGCAGGGTCACTCACAGGAGCAGAGACCGTCCCTGCAGGGTCACTCACAGGAGCAGAGACCATCCCTGCAGGATCACTCACAGGAGCAGAGACCGTCCCTGCAGGGTCACTCACAGGAGCAGAGACCATCCCTGCAGGATCACTCACAGGAGCAGAGACCATGCCTGCAGGATCACTCACAGGAGCAGAGACCATGCCTGCAGGGTCACTCACAGGAGCAGAGACCATCCCTGCAGGGTCACTCACAGGAGCAGAGACCATGCCTGCAGGGTCACTCACAGGAGCAGAGACCATCCCTGCAGGATCACTCACAGGAGCAGAGACCATGCCTGCAGGGTCACTCACAGGAGCAGAGACCATCCCTGCAGGGTCACTCACAGGAGCAGAGACCATCCCTGCAGGATCACTCACAGGAGCAGAGACCGTCCCTGCAGGATCACTCACAGGAGCAGAGACCATGCCTGCAGGGTCACTCACAGGAGCAGAGACCATCCCTGCAGGGTCACTCACAGGAGCAGAGACCATCCCTGCAGGATCACTCACAGGAGCAGAGACCCATGCCTGCAGGGTCACTCA